ATTTTTAAACTACCTAATCGTGCCCAATGTGCTACGTTTTGCATTAATTAAATACCAGGGTTTGCAATGCTGAAAAGGCATTTAGGTGCTTGCAAAAGCATCTCAGTATTTCTATGCTGCATTTTACCCTGCCCCACGCATTTGGAGCTTCAGGTTGCAGGAGAAGGTGTAGCTTCCCCTTTGTAACCTAGGGGAAGGAGTAACTGGGCTTGAGTCTGAGGCAGAAGCTACCCTTTTGCTCAGAATAGTGTGGGTCAGAATGGAGCAACATGAAGGAAAGCATGAGTTTGCCTTCGTAAAGTCATATTCAGTTAAAGACATACTAGAAGAGGTTGAAAGGACACTGGACTGCAGAAACCCTCAGGTTACAGAACGCTAAAGTTAGGCTTGCTCGTATAGCCATTCTTCTAGTCCTCTTATGTCTGAGCCCACTATGGACATTTGTGGTCGTTCTCAAGATTATCACTTATTTTAACCCAGGTTGCCTGTGTAGAGTTATTTTGGATATGTGAAAGAAAGATACCTTCAAAGGATCAGTGTTACCAGTATGCCGTGCAGTAGGATATTTACTTAAGTTACAGAAAAAAATCCAGAACTGAAGTACCTTAGCATACAAGAGAAGCATCTTGAGAGAGTATGGCAAGTACCATGCATCATCTAGCAATGTCTGGTATTTGGTTACCAACATTCTCCTCTGTTAGTAGAAAGAGAAAAAGAAACATCCGAGTTCTAGTCTAAATAAACTAAAACATAAGCTCTTGCCATTGTGAAGTAAAACCCCTCTGGCTAAATTTATTGGTGAGAAGAATGATAGTTAAGAATAACAACATATAAAGGCTTTATATGGCAGGCATCTTCTCAAAAATGGCATAAGCAATTCAAAAGTAGTTTAGGGACAAGAACAAGTAATGAATACTTCAATAAATGAACTGTTGGAGATACCAAATTCAAGCATACTATATCCTTTCTCATTCTCTAAACAATATTGCTTTAAAGCAGATTTCTTCTGAAGAGCCATGGAAGGAATAGGATATAAACCACAGATGCTACTCTGCAGTAGCGTATTTTTAATATTTCATATTTTTAATGACATTTTGAAGGTCATCTGTCTAGGGATCATGAGAGGGATTGTGCAAGATGTTAAGAGGCCTGAGAAAACTTCTGTGTTTTCTGAAGAACTGCTTTCATCCATCTGCTCGTCAAGGCAGCCATGATGCATATAAAACCTATATAGACACAGGCTTCGTACATAGGAAACGTGCTATATTTTTTCTTTTGCCAAATCCATTAAAAAGTTTAGATAGTGAAAATTTGATACTATTCTACTACCTTAGTGTATTTATATATTAATATCTGGTTGCAAAAGGTTAGCTCTCTTGAGTAACCTGAATTGCTTCTAGCTACTTAACGAGACTGAAGAGTTGCTGCATTTTCAGAAGCAGCAACTCTCAGTCAAAATTGTTCTTATCCCAAACTGATTCTTGTCCTCCCTCTGCATGCTTTTCATATCCAAAGGAGCCAGTTATGCCATAAATTACGTCTTTTTACAAAACCTTACACTGAAATAGAATTTGGTCTTAAGGCAAAGCTGCTACTTCTTGGAACTCAATTTCTTAACTATAATTATTTTCATTAATTTCTCTGTCATTTTTAATAGTTTTTTTCTTCTCTAGAAAGGTGTCAGAGGCTCCCTCTGGTGGCTATGTTAACTTAATTTGGCTTTTGTTTTTTTAGAAAAGAAAGATGAAAAAAGCAAAGTACCCAGTAAGATTGAAAGCCCAAACCAAAAGAAGCAATAATAGTAATAATGCAGCTGTTGTACAGAGGCAGCAATGTAGATTCATACTGAAGAGGGAGAAGGTAATTTCTTGTAGGGATAGCTGAAGGATTTGCAGCACAATATGAGCTAAATCTCATACTTAACACATGCGTACACCATTGCTATTGAGCAGTATGCTCAGATAGGAACAGGACATGAGATCTACTGAGTGAAAACACAGCCTCTCTTTTTGATTATCTAAAAAAATTAGACTTGTTATCTCAGCATGGGAAACTACTTTGACTTTTGACCTTTTTTTTTTTTTTTTAATAGGATTGTAATGTACAGAGGTTTTTCAAATAGTGATGTAGTCTGTTGTGCTCCAAAATGCACCATTCAATTCCCATTAGTTACTTCTTTTGTGTTTATTTTTTCCCAGGCTTTCCAAGCATATGTAAAATAATTCAGCAGTTCAGTTCTGCTGTTTGTTAGGAATCCATCTGGCAAATAAGCTGGATGCAAGAAGTTAAAGCTAATGCATTTCATCTCATGGGCGAAGAGCGCGCACAGTCTGTTGCCTCAGCTCAGCTGCCACACGCTTCCTAGGTATGCCACAATAGATTGATTGTACAGACACCGTCTTAAACAAGGCTCCGGGCAGCCTCTGCCAGCCTAAGAGACAAGATTGACATCTCCTCCAGTTGCCAAAGCAAGGACTGGTTTTAAGTAGTGCTGTTCCCATTTGTACTCATAGAGCTTACGCTGTCTGCTTCATACATTTTCTGTAGGTCATGAACAAATACTTGGACGGTTTCAGTTTGAAAGCTGCACTCCCCGCTCTTCACATTCTGCCTCTCCCCTTCCACTCTTCGGTACTGGAAGCTGCCCACAAATGTATCCGTCATAATTTACAGCAAAATCCCTTTAAATGGCACACTGAATTATATACTTGGCATATTTCTGCCAGTTGGTGAAAGTTTGAAGAAGCCTAGTATTTACAACGTAAATACAACCAAAATGGAGATATGATTGTGGGTTATTACTGGATTTATATACAGTCCTAATTCTTTTGAGGATTTTACAGTTTTGCTGAAGTCTGTAATGGTATATGAGACAGATTAAAATACTTCAGAAGCTTACCCCCAAAAGAGAAAATGTCATACAATGTCATTACTAGAAAGAATATACCTCTTCATTACTGTTATAAATCACACAAAACCAATTTCCTCCCTCGTTTGGAGATGCTGTATTTCAAAATTAAGTGTAACAAGGTGTGAATTTTGGCTTCAGATTAAGTCTACCTGATTATTGATTAAATGAATTTTTAAAAATACTGAATTCATCCCAGTTTGGACTATCTGTACTTATACTTCCTCCATACCATGTAGGACAGCTGACAAAGTTGGGACAACATCCCTTGACACCTAAGAGAAATCTGAGATGTTTCAAGACAAACATGCATACAAAGGCTTTGAGAAGTAGCAGTTTCTTCAAGTTTTCTATAGGATACAGTCATTTTACCTCAATCTTCATTTCCAGTTAAGCTTATGTATGTGGTATATTGTATGCATACTTGTATCTATGACATAGGAAACATGCTGAGTTTAAAGATGTGCAAGGACATATGTATATATGGTTATTTTCATTAAGATAACTGAGTTATAAAGCATTATGTCTAGTAAGGCATCAAGTAAGCTATAGGGTGGATTGTTTTATGAAGGGCTGAGCATGTGAGATGAACTTAGCTTTTGTATTTCCCTCAGAGAATCAGGTGCAATCAATAACGTTGCCTTGTTGGCGTTTTTTCTGAGAAAGTCCCATTTCAACCAAGTTTAAGTTGTTTAAATTTATAATATAACTGAATTAGCAAGGCAGGAAGAAGGGTGAAGTGTCTAGAAGAATCCTTCAACCTTCTGTTTTGACTGAAGCTAAAGCCCAGGGTACATTTACATAGGTGAATGTGTATATGTGCATCTGGTTTGCAGGCTCTGTCCTTCATCACAGCTGCTTTCTGAGTGGCATGCAGGGTTGTGCTTACTGAGTCAAGCCTAATCCTAGCATAGCAAAACATTCAGGTTGCTTCTCCAGCAGACAACTTTGACAAGGGCTATTAAGTGACATTGGTTCTTCCTTAAAGGCTGAGTAATATCTGGGCTAAGGGGGAAGTTGCTTGTCCCATGTTAAGGCAGCAACACGAGGCTGGCATTTATCCCCTTACAGTACTGTGTATATGTCCTTTAGCCTTTCATTTAACTTTAGCAAAACAATATAGTTATCATTCCCATATCTGCGCCTAGTTTCAACATGATGCTGGTAGGGCACAAAATGCTGCATTTTATAAGAGCAGTAGATCTAAAGACGTGGAGGATAGGCATGCTTTGTGAGTGGGAAAGATCTTTAGGTCAAGCCATACGCTTCACACATCGAGATGTCTCAGTGTGGGAACTTGTCACTACCTGTGGCGGTCACTCCTGACTGATGTGTGATGATTGATGCATCTCTGGTGAGCAGCATGTGGGCTATGAAGTGGCTTGAGTCAGAAATCAGGAGCAGAGCTACTTCTTTTCATATTAGGAACAAGTGTTTCTTAACAATAAGACAAACCAGATCAATGGCAGTCTCTCTGTTTTTAGGTACAGCAACATATTCATAGAAAATTAGTTGCAGTTGAAGAAATTCCAGAAGGTACCTGTGAGGTTTCTCCAGGAATGTAAAAAAACATTTAAAAGATGAAAATTTTCAGGCCACAGTTAGAGTAGACTATGTAAGAGACCACCAAGTGTGGCATGATGCTTTCTTGTCTTTGGATCTTATAGTCTAAACTCAAAGGCCTCATGGGGAACAACCCTCAAAGTGGAAAGCAGCTGTGCCTGGCAAAGGATAAATGAAATAAGTGGTGTTTTGAGAAGGGGTTTGAAACACAACTGGACATGAATGGGGGAAAATGGAGGGATAGGGAGCTGTCATAAAAAGGTAAATTCAAGCCTGAAAAAAACCCAAAGCAGCCAAAAGTATATCATGGGGAGAATGTAGAAGAAAGGTGGGGCAGAAAGAACCGAGAATAGGGATGTATGGTGAGGAAGAACAGGATGAGGGGCTGGAACTTCACAAAGAAAGGAAAGTAAAACAGTGAAGGGAACTGGGGCTGTGCCCTCACCAACCAGGGCACAGTCCCACAGGGTCTCAGCGGATCTGAGGGCTGGTAGTGGGCTCCATCGACAGCCCCAGACACAGCCAGGGGATGAACCAGATCCAGGCTCACCCAGTCAGAGCAGCAGGACACAAGGCTACAACGTGGATCCAAGGTCCACCAGAAGACAGGGACAGGGCCAGGGATGGAGACAGGCACACCAACAGCATAGCCCAGGCAAGGTCTGGGAGCCCAGGCTTGAACCACCTGGAGCTCCTGGGCCATGGGCAGAGGGTGTGAGTGGGGGTTCCAGGTGAGGCCAGCCAGTGCCATTAAGGCCCTCAGGGTACTGGCAGAGATGGACACGAGAGCAGAGATGTTACTGGGAATAATAAGGAGACATGGGATTTGAGGCAGTTTTAGAAAGGCAGTTTTGGCACCAAACGCTAGATGCCAAGCCATGGTGGGTGACTCTCGTCAGGTAGAATGGAAAAGAAGAAAGGAAAATATTTTAAGAGAGATTTTTGGAAAGTGGCATCCAACAGAGCCACAGAAGAAAGCTGGGTGAGGATAGAGGAGATATGGAAAAAAGCATCGTTATTGTTCTCAGGAGGACTGTAAGACTGGTAATGATGAAAAGCAAAGGAGCGAGATAGTGTAATGGTCAGGAAACTGGTGCAGAGGCCTTATCAGTGTTCTTCTTCTACCAGCATTATCAACAGCCAAGTTCAGAGTTTCATCATGAAATTGTGTTTGAATTATTGGAGGCAAAAAACACCCATGAATTTTATGCATAACAAAACAATGCTGTTAGTTCTGCATAATCCAGCAAGGCCTACAAGAATTGTCTGACTTTCCTAAAGCAGTTCATCTCTAGTCTCAAATGAGGTTCAAGATGGTGTCAGATTATGAAAAAAAATCTTTCTAAGGTGGTCAAAAACTGCAAGTGGCACATTCAGCTCACTTTAACCTTAATGTAGTAAGACATGTTGGACTTACTGGGATTTGGCTTTTTACTCACCACTATGCCATTAGCCCATGCTGTTTATGACCTACTTCTGTTTGTTTCAGTGGCCCTCATGTAAACTGGTTGTATATATGCCTGGCTTCATTATAAGGTAATCTGTATTCTGGTTATGGGAGTAAAAAAGTAATTTATAATCATAAGATTAGTACTGGCATGATGTAGTCACAATAGCTACTGGAAGGCCATGCCTACTTAATAAGCTGCTTAACTAACTCAGTATTTTGGGCTACATTAATAGAAAGAGGCTGTAGATGTAAAATGTAGATATAATAATTAGGAAGAACATAATTGTCTAAATAACCCAACTGCTTTTGCAAGTCAGGAAGCTTGATGTGTTGCTTTTATCAGTGGAGACTGCAATTCACTGAACACTGGAAGGCAGGCTCGAAAATCTGTGCAGTTATAAAAAGAAATGGCTGAGCCAAATATTTTGTAAAAACAAAGTAAGATTTGAAAAGAGAGACCCTGAATTAAATCAGGCAACCCATTATGTGCATGGCTGGAGTCTATGATGTAAGGAGGGAGCCAGACTCCTGCATTTATTTAAGTCTGCTTACTATATAATTCAGGGTAGTGAGGTGAACTAAGGATGAAGCATTAGCTTCAGCATAGAATTTTTATTCTGATCACTGGAGCCTAAAGTTATTAAAAGAACAAACACAATTATGACATCCTAAGGGACTGGCACACATATAAATCTGGATATGCTTCCTGTTTCTTGCAAAGCATATGTATGGATCTGTGTATAGCCTGCTTTTTATTTTAACTAGGTTTGCTGCAGCTTTTGCTCTGAAAAGAAACATTTAACACTCTGGGGAAAAGGAAGCTGCAGAAATCCTCAAATTAATATCTATTAAGAAAAATAAGTTTTAAATAAATTGCTTGTTTGTGTGGTTAAAACTCTTGTCCCTTGAATAAGAACAAAGAACCATCACTTTGCTAGTTCTAGACCTTTCCTAGCTCCCAGCTAATCAACTTACAGTACCATAAAAAAAAAAAAAAAAAATATATCGGTTTATTCTTTCTCTTCCTCTAGTCCTTCAAAATGATGAGAATCTATTTTCATGATAGGTAGGAATGTGAATACTTTCTGAAGAACAAAAGCCCATAGTCTTAAAATTTAACCAGTATATGTGATTTTCAAATTGGCTTTTATGAAAATATTTTGAGCATCAGGTAGCTCAGCATTACCTATTATCTGTGCATATGAATGCCATAACTCTCAATCTTTCAACTGACTAATAGTGATGTGTATATATTGTATAAAGTATTAGATTTCACCTGACAGTCTCAACTTCAGTGTTGTCAATGCAGCATCATTATGGAGTCTGAAGTTTTTAGAGGTGTCAGCAGGAAAAAAAAAAAAAAACAAACAGGTTCTTCAAGGTCCAAAAGGATAAGCCATTAACCCTTGGGAAGTCTGTCATAGCATATTGCCAGCCTCCAAAACTGTCCTGTCAGGCATCTTGCTGACAATGATGCCCTACTAGTGCTTCAGTCACTGCCCACCCTCTTAGCTCTGCTGCCTGGGGCTGAGGGTTTCCCCCTCTCTTCTCTCTTGTCTCTCTCCAGTTCCCCATTTTAGCCTACTGGGAACCCTGTTGGGCTGCTTCTTGTATTCCCATCTCCTTCTCTCTTATCTTCTAGCTGTTTCACCATGCAAACAGCTGTCAGTCAGCTTTCAGGCTAACATATTTTTGTATGTCACTACATCCTATCTCTATACCTTTGCCAAGTCGCTCCTGCTGTTCCTCCTCCAGTTTCTTTGGTTTCTCTTCTGTCCTCAGCTTCCTCTTCTTCTGTGTAAGTTCACTGCTATATCCGTAACTGAAAGAGAGCGACGTCCAGTAGTGCCCTAAAACACTATCTGTAATACTCACAGAATAAAGGGGGAAAAAAAAAGAAAACCTTGTGATCTGGGCAATCAGGGAGTTGGTTCTCTCACTTCAATAATTCACAAGATTTTAGAATTTTTTTTCAGGTAGAGAGATTAAAAGTCTTGAAGGTATGATATAAAATAAAGCATAGATGTATTAAAGAAAGATTGTGTCAGACTAATCTGTTAATCTCCTGACACGACAGCTGGTTTCCCAGGGAAGGGAAATGCAGCAGACATTGTCTATCTTGACTTTCATAAACTGCCACCAGGGAAAGTAAATGTGAAGATTTGGATTAATAGAAGAATTTCAGAATTGATGGGAAGCTGGCTAGAGGGGAAATACTGGGCCAGGGGGGACTTTACACACCAGTGATTCTTTGATGATGCCACAAAAATTGAGAGTGTGCCAGTAAAATTTGTCATTGCCATTTTTCTGGATTTTATTTTTTAGGGGTTAAATATGAAGGCTCTGTAGTGACACAGCATTTTAATTGATGTTTCCATCTTGATAACTAGCTCTTCTGTGACATTGCTCCTTGAGTTGCTTGTTTTGATGCTGCAAGCAGCCTGCCTTCTCTTTCCAGCCATTGGGAGGTCGTTGGGTATGACTGCACCAGGAAAGTGGGCACAAGAGGATTCAGGATTCTTAGTGGAGACAGCCCTGCATGCTAGTCCCACTCCTGATCAACTGTTTAAACAGGAGAAATTTTAGGGGAGTTTTTACCCTGTATTGAGGAATTAAATTGAACACGATTATGAAACAAAAAGAAATGAAAAAAAAAATGCTTCTACATCATCCTAACTTACTACTGATTTTTCCAGTCTTCTCAGTATGGACAGAATAACTCACAGGACAGAGCATTTTAGATGAGTAATTTAAGTACAAGGCATTTTTGTATGGTAACTGCTTCATTATCAGTGCCCAGCTGCATCCCTGCTTCCTTTCTATATGTTATTGTGGGTTTGTCTCATTCTTGGAAAACAACAATCAATCAGTGCGTTCCCTTGAAGGGAAAGAACAGACTAAAACCTGTGCTTAATGCTAACAGTACCAGCAGAACATAGGAACATAAAGTCACTTTTCAATATAGAAGGAAATCAGAAGTTCTCCCTGGGTCCAGATTAGGACCAAAAGCAATCAGGGTGTTTTTTTCCAGTGGATATTATCTGCTTGCTTTCTCAAAGCTTTACTTGAGTAGAAATGTGTTGTGGTGTTACCTGAAGCCAATGTGAAAGGTGCATTGGCAGTCCTCATGTGGAAAATACCTCATGAACTCACAAAACCACCTTGTCCTCCTTTACATCTTCTAGACCTGTGGGTAAATAATGTCCCAACATTGCCAGGCCAACCAAATACATAGCAGCACACAAAGCATATCCAAAGGAAAAGGCAAATAAGGAAATGGATGGATACAATGAGGTCTCCACTTAAGAGGAAAGGTCATCGTTTCATTGGTAGGTGCATATAGAGAAAAATCCCTGTAGGGCATAAGAGCTGTCAGAGTAGCATCAAAAGGCATCAGAGGATTTGTGATAAGGAATCAAGTACAAAATCTGGAAATGGTGTTTATCTGCTCTCCTGCTTTGAGTATGTACCAGCTTTTTTCATCCCTTGTGTTCTCAGCCTTCTCTGGTGTGCACTTTATTTAAAAGTTTAATATTATAATATTCACACAGTAATCCTGATTGTCCCTATATCCAATTCTCCCTGTTCTTGGGAAAGTATAAAATCAATTTCTATAGCACAGCTGAAAAGCAAAAATTGTTGCATTAACATACTGTTGTTTGCAATAAAAATATAGCATTATCTAGGGAAGTCTGTATTTGATTAGAACATAAATATCAAACCCCCAACTCAGACCTCTGAGTATTTGATTCCTTCATCTTATAGAAACAAGGATCTCTGCTGAACAGTGTGACATTTCATTACTTTAGATTTGCTGTGATGAATAATATTATATGCTATTGGCCTAGAAGAAATATTACTATAGTAACTAGCTCATGATTCATTTTTTATGGTTTTTTGCTATATTTCCTAAGGGATGGCTGTCTAGACTAAAAATGCTTAAACTAACTCTTGGTAACGGTAATTAATTTTTTCCAGAGTACTAAAAATATGGGACAGATAAACAACAATACTTAGATACTGCTTTTTAAAAACACAGCAGACCCATAACATTCTTGAAATTACGGGAGTATAGTTTTATTTTATTTGGTGCTTTTTTATTAGTAGTTTTCTGTGTTGTTATTAATCCTCTTTAGTGACCTAAGGCTGGATTCCCACATCGACAATATTACGACTCTAATGAAATCCTCAGACATAATATATAAAATGTTACATATGAGGATGAAAGTATAAGCGGGGTTGGTTGATTTAAATAAAAGTAATG